TCTATTGCCAATCCTCCTCCTTTTTTCCCCCAAAGCCCCAGTAGATAGTTGTATGTCATAGTTGCACATCCTTCTAGTTGCTGTATGTGGGACGCGGACTCAGCATGGCCGGAGAAGCGGTGCGTCGGTGCGTCGGTGCGTGGCCGGGATCCGAACCCGGGCTGCCAGTAGCGGAGCGCGCGCACTTAACTGCTAAGCCATGGGGCCGGCCCGTCCCAATAATATTAAAAAATAAACAATCACAAGAAGATTCTTTCATCATTTCCTTCGTCACAGTTTCATTTCATTCTGTGTAAAAAAAAATCCGTTCCATCAGATGTAGGATTAGCTGTGGTGTAAGAATTCTGGAAATCTTGGCTCTGCTCCTGGTTCAGTCTGACAGGTGTCTACTTGTGGGGACGATGCCAGTTTACATGGGAAACCTGTACCCATGAGTCTGTTCCTTGGAGTGCCAAGAAGTCAGAGTACCAGGTAAAGTCTATTCATTGGGTTCTGAGATTCTCCTTTGTAAAGACCCAATTTCTGGCCTTTGGCTTCCAGCTGACCCTTCCAGAAAGCAGAAATCACCTATTTCTGATGATAGGACTAAATAGTGCTAGGGAATCTACTCCAGTGACTAATGCTACCTAATTAGAATAAAATAGAATGCTCTATTAGGGCCTACTATATAACCATTCCAGGAGGACAGGGTCAATGTTTCCCCTGAGGGCAGGAAAAAATTATGAATGCAGAGGACATTAACAAATCTCCACCACATAAAAGTGGACAATCTCAGAGACGTATTTATAATAATAGCATTTAATCCACAAAATGAATCTGAGGAAGGCTGAACCCCTCTTCTTAATTTGGTAGTGTTTTCCACATTGTGGATTCAAAAACCAGGGAAATTCTTACATTAGTATTGAATCATTAAAAAGTTTGAAGCATGTGAAATATACTTATGATTTCTAACACCTTTCCTGCTTGCATATTTCCTATGGTGGGTTACAAAGTGAGAGAGAAGGGCTTTGATGCTTTGGCCACTTAGGAGATGCCAAAAATTATCCTGAATGTATAAACATCTTGACAGTTTTTTATTTTTCTGAATTTAGGATCTGATCTTAGGAAAGCCAATGTCAAAAAGAATTGTCAGAGATGCTGGTCACCTTATTAAGATAGGGACC